GAAACGCTATGTGATACAGTACAGTTTACACAGCACAGTACATGTTCTGTAGCTACTATTGCACTAAATGGTAACACTTGAATACGTTATGACAAATATGCAACTTGTTTGTGAAATGTTAATAAATGGGAGCTTCCTCAAACAGCCATCTCTTTCCCGACAATCCCCTCTGTGCACGAACCCTTACATATGGTAATTAAACATTAAAACACCTGCGGCTTATAGTCCAGTGCGGCTTATATATGTACACATCATTCAATTTAGCTGCTGCAGCTTATATTCAGGTGCGCCTTATAGTCCGAAAATTACGGTACTCACTTCTTGTAGCCCTCAAAAGTGTTTTGGAGGTTGATGCCTCGGTGAACGTGAGTTGTTTGGCTTTCTTGTCCGCAGCAGCAGAAAGCATTTTCGAATGTTTGAATGAATCAAAGTGGGTCGTCACCGTCGACTTTCTCTTATGCTCCAACACACAGTTGCACGGGGTGCAGAATAGTTTCCCCCCACTTTTGTGAAAGACCCGGTCTTTAGTAGAAATGTTCGTCGGTAAATGAGATGGATCGGATTTTTTCATCTTGGGGTTTTCTCTCTCGTGTGAGTTCCACACGTTCACTCTACGGTGTTGTTTACCTTCTGTGATGCACGAGCTGATGACGTCACGTCATCATCATCATCATCATCATCATCACTACTTCACGTCAAGACGAGTTAACTTTTTTCTCAACTTTGTGTGGAAAAATGTGGGGATTATGCGGCCTTTTGATAAATATGCGGCCTTTTAAAAATCTGCGCCATTTTGCTGATTATGCATTAAATTCTGCGAACGCAGAATCACGTTTTTCTGGAGGGTCTAGCTGCTGTGATGCAAGTAACATTTCAGACTTGATCTGACCATTTAAGTATTATCGTATAATATATTTCATCACCAAATAACACATTTTAATTTGAAATGCTAAGAGCAGATTCTGACTCACATGAGTCGTTGTAACAGAGATCCTCCCCCTTGCCGCAGTACTGCTTGCCCCTGGTCCGCAGGTTGGCCTTCACTGGACATTCCTTATTGGGCTTCAGAATGAGGCTGAAGATCTGCTTGCCTGTCCACAGAGCCATGGGCTGATGGACACACAGCAAAGTGTTAGTGCCGGGTCAAAGACATGGAGTTATGTAACAAGCCCACCAGAGTGTAGTACCTTCATGATAGCAGGGCGGGGGAGAGTGATTTTTACTTTCTCGTCATGCCCCACGAGGATCGATGCCACAATCTGGCAGGTCTTTGATCTCTCAAAGAAGGTGTCCTTCAGCGTCAAGAGGTAGGCCCCTAGGAGGTAGAAATAAGCTAATAAGTTAATGGAAATTAAATACAGTGGGTTTCCACATTTCTGGCTTAAGTGCTCCCTCATTAGGTACAAATGGTTATTGAATGCCTACGGATTACTCAAATATTCCACAAAAAAAAAAAAAGAACATTTTCTTATACCATCATAGCCAGTATGCCCTTGTTGCAGTGATAAATGATCCTCCACCTGTATCTCAAAGCAGCAGGACTCTCACAGCACATAAAGAGCACAGAGAGAAAGAGTGTACCACCTCAGCACACTGACCTGTCAGAAAGTCCTGAATAGCAGCAATCAGAGGTTCGCCATTTCTTGGAGTGACAAAATTAGCTTTCGTCTGGAAGAAAGATAAAAACATGGGTTTAAGTGCCTTCAATTTCATACATACAATACGGTTCCCGGGAACATCTTTTCATCGCTGAATGTAAACACTCAAATTTGAGACTTTTTAAGACCACTTTGAATAGAATTTAAGACCTACCGGTATTTCACGGCAAGAAAGTATGAAGGAAAATTGCTATGAAAGAAGAAATACGTCCCATAATACTTACAAAATAAATGTATTCATGTTGAACATAAGAACGATGACTGAGCATAACAGCATAAGAGCATAACAGTACACAGAACTGTGTTAGCGTGTTAGACAAAAAGTGTGTATGTGTGTGTCTCTGTGTTGGTGTGTGTGTCTGTGTATGTGTGTGGGTCTGTGGGTGTGTGGGTGACAAGAGCTATCTTCTGAGCTCTGCTGCCTCGGCTACAATCTTTCATCATTGCTGTTGTAGGATTGGTGTTTAACTATGGTATTATGTCCACAACACCTCCGCTTTTAGGGTTGACGTAGACCCAAACGTCCCCCGATGTTGTTGTGGGAGCTGCTGCACTAGCTAACGCTACATTTGCAAAAAAGAATGCTAATTTCTTTTGCAAACAGTGCAGCGGGCTTCAAACACATTCCCCTCCACTGGTTTCAGCCAAGCACTAAATTCGATGTTTTCCAACCAAATACGGTTTAACTTACACTTCCCCGTATTTATTTGTAGCCTAAGTAGATTCGAAGCTGAAGCTTGGTTGCTAGGTTACTGGGGGAAACAAAGTTAGTGATTACTGGTTCCATGTTGATTTATTTCCATACAAATTGTTGGGGGGAACTGAAAGGCAGCCCGGACATTTTCCCCAAAACACATTTAGACGTGATCGCAACACAGAAGTTGGCTACCTTTCAAATCCGATCATTTTTAAGACCTTCTAAAATCATATTTAAGACCTTCCTTATTTTTTTGAGCATATTTAAGACTTTTTAAGGCTTTAAATTCTGATTATCAATTTTAAGACTTTTTTAAAAACTTTTTAAGACCCCGCAGGAACCCTCTGTTAGGTGACGTGTGTGTTGTGAATGGAGCCGCGTGGTGATGAAACGTACCCCCATCAGGACGAGGGCCTCGGCTTTGGCTTCTTCAGTCTGAGGTAGATGAAGGTTCATCTCATCACCGTCAAAGTCGGCATTGTACGGGGTGCACACGCACTCGTTGAACCGAAACGTTCTGTGAGGTTTGATTCTGGCCTGGGAGGTTGGGGACAGTAAAAAAATAGAGACATCCATAATGAAGACTTACTGCATGTGTAACCCGTCTATTTTCTTTAGCAGTGAAATTATGCTTAATATTGTGAACATTTCAACATATCTTGGCCCATTCCATCCATTCGTTTTAAATACTGTACAGCTTTTTTCATTTTTTAAAACAGATGTTTATAAATTCATACTTCTTACTTATAGACATATTACATTACATGTTACTTATTAGACGCTTTTATCCAAAGCGACTTACATACTCAATACTGTGGGCAATCCCCACAGGAGCAATTTGGGGTTAAGTGTTTTGCCCAGGGACACAACGACATGCTGACTGCAGTGGGGTTTGAACCTGTGCTCCCCTGATTCGAACCCCAACGCACAACCCCCTGCACCACACGCCTCCCTACATATAGAAGCAGTTTCAGGCACCGCCGATAATTACTTAAGTTTTCTTTTCTTAACTGCCAAAAATATCTGTCAAGCCTGCCAGCCTAATTAATCTAAAGTAGATAATCATTTTTGTTCAGTAGATAAATTGTACTTGTGTTTTTGTGAGGGCCAAAAAAAAGATGCTTCAATTATACTGTTGATAACATTAAAGGGCATTTTCATTTCTAGTGTTTATGCCAGCAACTGTAGAAAAATAAACATTTGACAGAGAAGTAGCAGCTTTTAGCTTCGCACTGTTTTGGCAAGTTAACTGTGGAGGATTCATCATGAGTCATCAAGAAAAATAAAACAAGCACTGACGCTATTTTAGACAGAAGGGGAGAATGGTAACGACCCTGATAATAGCATAAATGTTAAATTATGAAAGCACGGTGTACTGAAACAAGGTTGTTTTTTTCTTTCATTTGTTCTTTTCAAAAACCAAGCTTACGATGTGGGCCATGATGCTGAGTTTGTGCAGGGAGGGCTGTCGATTGAAGAGGACGATGTCTCCATCGATCATGTGTCTTTCCACCACGTCTCCGAACCTCAGCTCCTGAGCTATCTTCTCACGGTTTCCATACTTTAAAAACCTGGCAGAAGATAAAAATACAAAAATATATATTTGTTTTAAAAGGTGAACCAGGTCAGGTAAGGAATGTTTTTTTAATTTGCCAAAGACATAGCCGGCCTTACCTTTTCATCTGTGTGCTACGATTCTGGATGAAGTTGGCTCCGGGATGAACTTCAGGCCCGTTGCGGACCAGTTTCCTCAATAGCTCCAGATTGGCTTTGTTCACCTATAATAAAGAATCACATTTAGATGACTTTAGTCCTGGCATGGAAGTGGTTGTTTAGTGTAGGGAGGATTACCTTCTCAGGGTATGTCAGGATTTTAGCCACGTGCACGGGGACGGCCACCTCATCTATCCTCAGGTTTGGGTCTGGAGAAATGACGGTTCTGCCAGAGAAGTCCACTCTTTTTCCCGAGAGGTTTCCTCTGAATCGACCTGAATTTTTCACAGTAAATGAATCAGTCAGTCTGCAATTTAAAATGTGCAGTTCCTTTTCTACACCGAGTTGCCCACGCAGAGTATGAAATACATACCTGCTAAGTGCCACATTTCTGTAAAGTGCTTCTTGGGTTGTTAAACCCATTATACCGACATAAAAAGCTCACTCAAATGTGAGTGCAAGAGTGAGAAAGATAGGAACCCACATCTGCTCTGCTTTATGTTTTACACTGTACCCGGCTACTTTAATCTCTTTAAAAAATTGACAAATCTTAAACAAAATGTTCAGGTTCAACTTTTGGCATTACCAATTTTTTTTCATTTACTTGATAATGGCATTTAGTGTGAAGAGTTGAATAAATACACTGTGTCCACATTAGTTTATATAAAACATTAAAAATTGGCAAAATAGGTTCTCACACGTTTTTATATTGACTTTACCTTGCTTTCCCTTGAGTCTCTGCACAAAGCCTCGGGTCCATTTCTTCGGTGCCATGTTGAGGGGGATGCCCGAGAGCTCGCTGTTGATGTACAGCGCACACTGCAGCTGGAGGAAGTCCCAGTCCTCCATGATCATCTGGGTCTTCGCCCCTGTCATACGGTGCTAAATTATAAAATACTTTGTTAATGAGGACCGTCTACAATGAAATGATGAAATGTTATTACTGCATTTAGAGACGTTTTTTGTTGTAACGCTCATAATGGGTTAGCTTTGTTATAATGTGTTAGTCCATTTTACAAACAATAAAACTCTAAATAGAAAACTAATAGGCAGGTTTGAAGTCATAGAAAATAGATTTCTACACTTAAAGACAATATTAGACCCAGAGTTCGGCCGCTGCATTTATATTTCAGAGGCTGTATGCTCAGCAAAACAACAAGATGTTTTTTTCTCTTTGCTAAAAGCCACCACAGCTCAATACTTTGAAATTAGGTGTCTTCAAAACTAGAGGCTGAAGTCCTACAAGTCCCTGCAGACATCCAGCCCTATCATCTTCAATAACAGATACCAACCTTTTTGATGACATCGTTGAGGAAGATTATCTCTGTGAGCTTCATGGTGAGGTCGTCCTCGTTGGTGCCGGACTTCAGGTCGCTGACCACAGAGGGCCGGATGCAGAGGGGGGGCACCAGGAGGCGGGTGAGAATGAGGTCCGCGGGTTTCCCTGCCTCAGGGTTCATCAGCAGCAAGGGAATGTCTTCTTGGGGGATCCTCTTGAACATGTTCAGCACCACCAGAGGGTTCAGGTTTTCCTGAAGAGGAAATAATAATCAAGGCAAAATACAGGAATGTGCAGGACCTCCATACAGGGCTCAGTGTTGCTAGAAATGCTTTTGATGACACTAAAATACTTATTTCTAAATGGTTGTTTGAGTAATATACCAATGATTTATAAAAGACGTTTTCCTTTTAGTAAATTACTGGAATGTAATGGAACATTTTTTTTTTTACTCCTGTTTTTTCTTTAAAGCGATTTTTGGTCCCCTGAATGGCGCTATATACATTTAAGTTATTTATTATTAATAAATCAATACTTTTCCTGATTTACATGATGAAATATATTATCGACAATTAATAGAATAAGAATATAACCAACAAGTAGAATCACTAAATTCAACAGTAGCTAAAAACCATCAAGGTTTGACAGCTCTAACACTGCTGTAACCTTTCACCCTCTGCATGGGAACACTAATGAGACCAACTGTGAAACATTGTACCTGTGCTCTGGTCAGCAGAGGTTCCACCACTTTGTTGTGCTCAATGGCAGTGTCGAAGGACTGCAGGAAATCTGTCACAAAGACATCCACCACCTTCTTGTTGGTTTTGTACTTCTCATGGATGATCTTTAGCAGGCCACACTTTTTCACTGGTCCTGAAAAGTATAAGAGACACACGACTCAGCTTCTCCAATTATTGAATCAGAATGAAACGTCTGTGGCAAAAAGTCAAACTAAAAATGTCTCTTATTACCATTGAAAGCAGCACAACTCATACAGATCGTCTTTTTGCGGCATTTATCGGAGATCTTCTTCTTCAACCCTCGTTTCTGGAGATAGGCCAGGTTGGGCCTTTTTAACATATCCATGAACAGCAGTTTGTCCTCTTTTGTCAGCATTATGCTCGAGCATGTCTTGCAGATCATCTGGAAACATGACAAATTACAATGATCACAATGAGGGTGGTAAAACATTGTCTCACATAGGCGCTTGAATTATTTACAGAAATGTACAAACTATTATTATTGGAGAGGTATAAACATATTTGCTTGTTTTCATATTTCACATATTTACTTGAGAGATAAATGGTAAATGAAATGAATTTATTTAGCGCTTATTTGATCCCTGATTTCACTACAACAAGTTAGCATTCGCCCATTGACACACATTCATATAGAGGCAGGGCCTGCTGTACAAGGTGTCACCTGCTCAGGGGAGACTAACATTCACACAACATTGGCCATGCCATCACGAGCAATTAGGGGTTCATTCTCTTGCCCAATGACACTTTGAAATGTTATCTGCAGCGGCTGGGCTCAAACCACCAACCCTACAGCTGACCCACTGCCACAAGATTAGCTCAGTAACTTTGCCAAAAACAATCCATTTCCTACTGTTATAATTGTGAAACTCTAGTGACATCTAGAGGACATATATAATAATAATACATTACATTTATAAAGCACTTTTCCTGGTGCTCAAAGCGCTTACAAGCAAGTAAAGCAAAATAACAACAAAAGTACTAAGGTAGGTGGAATAAGGGTGATATATATATTTCTGTTTGCTTTATTGCCGATGGAGGTATCTTTAACTTTGGTTGTATCAATGCTTCTTCTTGCAGTGTGGAACATAGGCTCTCTGAATTTTGGTCTCACTATTGTTTAAGCTGACCAAATAATACAGCCTTGTACAAATGTGTAAGTGCCCAGGTTGTAAAAAAACCAAATACTATATACCGTCTAAAAACTCTCCTGTTTGTTTGTTGTCAGAAGGCTTAAAGAAAAATGAACGGCAGTCATGAAACTTGGTAAAATGGTGAGGTAGGGACCGAGGAAGAACCCATTACATTTTAGAGTAGATCTGGATCACATGGCGCAAACATAACATATATTTACTTTTGGTTAACTTTTCGAGAAAGGGCAATGGTCCTTGGCTGAGGTCTGCGCTCTTAAAGTGCTGTATTCGATCAGACTGTGAACTCACCTGTAAGATTCCTATGATGGCTTTAAAATAGCCGACATGAAAACATGGCAGCTCCAGATCCAGGTAGCCATAATGTCCCAAGCAGTCTGCCAGATTCTTCCCACATGTCAAACACGGTCTGTCTTTCTCACTGGTGCCCTGCAAAACACATGAGCAGAGGGATGAGCCTATGGCGTGATGTTGGACTAAAGGTACGCGTGGTTAATATCTGAAATGAGTGACAACAGTGACATGTTTTGCATGTTGGTGTATTGACAATGATTATCTTCTTTCCCTGCAAACAAGAGAAAGTTTCTGAGCAAGTCATACCATACGGTGGTCCAACACTCCATAGGCCAGTGGAGTGTGTTTGGTGTCTTGGCTGTACAGATTCTTACTGACCACCTGGATGTGGGCCTGCTTCCGCATCTGTTCAGCAGATTTCATGCCAAAGCAGATGTGGCTTCTGCAAATAAGCACAAAAAGTAACGATTAAGCAAATAATATCCAACAGCGCAAGATCAGCTGCACTTAAACCTTGACAAACAACCAAAACAAGTGTTGCTGTTGACATATTTTTGCATGAGAAGTGAACAGGAACAGATTCTAACAACATATGTATTGAATGCAAATTGTGGTTAATGCATGTTTGTTTACCGTTGATTTAACACTTAAATACGTTCAGAATTACAACATGTGCTCAATCGTCACATTTTAACTGAGTTTGACAGAATGTCACGTTGTCTTTTCCACAATGCATTAGTGAGCTGGCGTTAACTTGTTTATCAGAACAACTAGCTAACGGTGATAAACGTAATCATAAGTATCCTTTTTAATATTAACCCAAAAGTTAACACTGTCAATATAAGCTTCATTGCAAACTGTCTGACACTGGCTAACAGGTGAGCTAGTTAGCTAGCAGTGTTTCTCAGTCTGTTTGACTTACATTTTTTTGGCCACATCTGTCTCTCTGAACTGTTCCTTCACCATTTTGGCAACTTCTCCAAACCAAGCTACAGCGAAACTACTGTAATTGTTATTTTGTCCTCATTCCAGCAGGCCAGGCTTTACTGCAACCAGCACGCTGTCATATCATTTTCATATGTTGTGGAAATGCTAGCAGTCAGCATCATGCAATGTGTTGATAGCATGCGTAACACTGCCTTCAGGGTTCATCTGAAATCTAGCGACTTTAATCGTAAATGGTGAAAAAGCACATTTTATACTGAGTTTAGTGCTATGCAATTATTCTTTATTTTCATTAAGAGATAACTTAGAGTATGTTTATTCTAAAATCTATGATTTTAAGCCCATGAAAACGCTTGTTTATGATTGATTTTCTTCAAGTATGCATATTACAAGAAGTGCCTGAAAGCAGCACACGCGTCTGAACAACAACAGCAAGAAAAAGAAGGCACCGGAGCACGAGCACGATCAGTCTCAAATCAGTGCTGACACCTAGCGGCTAACATTTGTAAAAACTTGTAATGGGAATGGTGAATAGGTTTTATCTACTAAAAGTCAATGAAATTATACTAACTGAAATAAGTTACAGGAAGTTATTTAGTTTAGTCAAATGTGAATTTATTGTCAATTTAAAGGAATAGTTTGACATTTCTAAATATTTGCTCGCTTACTTTTTGCAATATCCAAGATGAGGAGATAGTTTCCGTTTGTAAATGGCAAAATAAGAAATAAATAAATACAAATAAATACAATGTCTTTTTAGTTATGATTTTTCTGAAACAATTGTAGCCTATCTATATTTTGGCAGTGTTCGCGAACACTGCCAAAATATAGATAGACCCTTACAAAAAAACATTATAGTATTACTATTAAGAATTACTATAGAAACACCACAAAAAACTGCTATAGTATTTCTATGGTGTTTTGGGACACACTATAGATAGTGTTTCCTGTAGTATTTCTATGGTTTTTCGGCCACTATAGGAAATTACTATAGTTATACTATTGAGTTTTATGTAGTATCACTATAGTGCTTTCTATATTATTTCTATGGTTTTTTGGAACACACTATAGAAAATTACTATAGTAATACTATAGAGTTGGCTATGGTGATCTTATAGTGAATCTATAGTTAATTAGCTTTAATAATGATGTATTTATCTCTATAGTAAGTATGGTATCAACAAATAAAAGTTAGCAAGCAGAGCAATTTCAATTTGAAAGATAGGGACTTTATTAACAAAATAAAATACATTGTTCACAGAATATGAATACCAATAACTTAAATGTAAAACATTCAGAAGAACAATTTCAGGCCTGAAACAGAAGTGGTTGGGCAATGAAATTAAGGGAAAAAGTGTCCCAACCCCTATATATAAACACATTTCACATTCATACACTTACAACCCATGCCTCTCTACTGTTACCATGAGTGAAGCAAGCAGGACCCAAATGCAGAATAAACTGATAACACCTTTATTTCAAGGATATAAATAGAGCTCGGACAGACAGAACACTCCCCAGTGAACTCAGTCACCAACAAAAGACGAACCAACACTGAACACAGGAAGAGACAAGACTAAATACAGGTAGGGGTAATCACAAGATGAGAAACAGCCGGGCAGGGGAGGAGAAACACAAGGGCAATAGGTGAACACAATCAGACAATTAGAAACACCAGGGAAACTAACGACAGGGAGGAAAAACACAGGGAGAAGGACCAGACAATATACAAGGAGGAAAAATGAAGTTACCTACTGTAACTCCAGTTTTATTTTGGATATGGCTTCGCCTTCTAAGGCTATCGCTATTGGGTTAAGGGCGAAGCATGATGTAGTCTGCGCCCCACTGGGTCCGCCCGGTACTAGAAGCGCAGACACAACTGCTCAGATAATAACCCATGCCCATTGCGCCATGCGTAATGGCGCATCTG